TCTATAGGTATGATTTATCTGTAGGTGATTTATCTATGTACTAAATTGGTAGTTCTACTAATATTACTATCTTTATTTTACAGAGAAGCAACTTGAAGACAAGGGATTTTTTTTTCTAATTTACTTGCCTTTGTTCACACTTCTAAGAGTTTCTGCTACAAAATTTGAATCCATGGCTTCCAAATTTCAGTCCTACTTTCTTGCAGATAAAACACAGTTGCCTGTGACATGGTTATGTCTTTAGATAAGAAATTTATCTACAGTCCTAAAGATTTACTTTACCCTTCCAGAAAGATGATGTCAAATTTGTTGTAGCCTTATCTCACATGTAGCAATATATTTCAGCAATAATGCTCCTCTGTGTACATGGAAAATACCAGGTCATTCTACATTACTATATAATACTTTATAAAGCAAAGTTTCTCTGACTGTAAGACTCCAACTCATGTTACTTTTCACAAATAACCCTCTCTCAAACTCACTGGTCATCTGGAAGTATTTCTTCCATAATTTGACCATACAGTAATGCCAGAGTGTGGTATACCTTTTCTGTGGGGTGACTGTGTGTTATAGTTGATGCATGGCTGTTCTAAATTCATAAGAAGTAGAACCTGTCCCATGAAGTCTAGGCCTGGGAGAGGATATAATAAACATAGTCTATTAAAATGGTCAAGTTTGCGATTGCTGGTGCAAAACAGTTCAACAGAACCTAGACTAAAGGGTATGTGGTTAGGAGATAAGAGTAAGCCGCGGGTAAGGATAGGAAAAGTGTTGAGTAAATGTTGTTTCTACTCTAAGACAAAATGAGGATTTGAAGAGGGAAACTAAGGCCAATGATTGTGCCTTAGGGGCTATACCAAGTACTCAGTGGAGTGGTGAGAAGATGAATGAGAATTATAAATTGTCAACAGCAAACTTGGAAGGCATAAGAGCTGAAGGAGGAGATGTAAGGAAGACTGACATTCTCAGTGGATGGAGTCTTGCTGGTGCGTGAATAATTTTAAAGAATGTTAAGCTGTTCCTTTGCACTCATCATTAAGAATTTCTCTGCCATCTCATTATTTTTGATACTTAAAACAACATATCAGGAAGCAACTATGTTTACTCCAAAAAATAATAAGGAAAAACAATATTTGGATCTATTATATGAGGATGCTTTGGTTTAATTTTAGTGAAAATATTAGGCGTTACGTGAGGGGAGTGAGCTGACTATTGTTGAAGGCCAATTGTGAGGCGCCCATTTTGATGTGTTCTTTACATACTTTTACTGTAGAAACAAGTTTTATTAGATAGGTTTTGATTCCATTTTATACAAGAAAAAAGTGAGACTCAATGAAGCTAAGCAATAATATTAAATCTTGTAGACTCTGAGTCATCTATTCTTCCCGCTTCAGAAGACTCCTGGCTAGTATGATATGAGAATATCAAAACGCAGAAGTGACCATTGGGCACATTGAGACGGTTGTCCTTGAGGTTTTTAGCCCTTATTTGGGGCCACTGTCTTCCCTTCAGCTCTCCCTTGAACTCTGCTTCCAAGGTTACTTGCACTCTCTTGATTCCGCTTGCGTTGGGGAAAAGCCATTGGATAATCTCATTTCCACAGATGTATTTCCCTTCAATAACATCATGAAAAGTGGGATGCAATGGGCTCAAAAAATGCAATGCAAATGGTTGAACTTGAAATAAGGTGACACATGAATGAGAGATATTTGGAGAAAAAATAAGCAACTTGATCACTGAGGAGACTGATACTCTGGGTATGAGGGTAGCACCTTGAAGAGCTAAATGTTGTTTTTATAGAGCTTTTCCTATTGTTATTACATAGTGTTAATAAATCTTAACACTGTAGTGCTAATATTTATTAACACTGTAGTGTTAATATTGTGTTAATATTTATTACTTACAAAATGGCTCTAAAGTCAATTAAGTTTATGAAATTTTCACTTATTTTATTTATCCAAAAAACACTGTTTATTGCATATAGTGTGCCAGAGATTTCTGGGAGCTGGGTATAGAATATTAAATAATACAAACAAGGGTTGTGTTTGTGTGGAGCTTCAATTCCATACAATGGGGGAAAATGGATAATAAACAAGTGAACAAATAAATGAATACTATAATTTTGTTAGTAATGAGTATGATGAAAAATGTTTATTAAGAACATGATGCAGGAGAGACGATTGGATATAGATACTGTGTGTAGTTGTTTGAAACAGAGCTAAAATTTTAGTGAGGTCTAAGTTTATATAACCACATTATCTACTCCCCCTTTTTAAAAAATTACTAGGTTACTGTAACCCATGCATTTTAAATGGGGACAATATCTCGCCCAAGTAGGTAAAAATGGTTTCTTGGGGGATGAACATATCTTACTGTTTTTATATATAAAGCATACATATACATAAAGTACATAAATAAGTAGTATGTCTGTGGTAATATTTTAGAAGGGTGTGATTAAGGGTCCAGAATGTCTAAAAAGGCACCTTAGGATGGCGTTAATGAAAATAACATTGAGGAACTCTGCCCTAACCCACATCTCAATGCTTGGGTGAGAGCATGGAGTCACTTTAGAATGTTAGTAAAGGTAATTCAAGTGCAGACTTTGGTCCATCATCACCTGTGAGGGCCATATCTGGTAAAACTGAGAGACTACTCCTTCTCAGGAGACTTCCCAGGGCGTATGGTCAAATGTGTTAATGAACCAGTTATAATCTGTAAAGTATGTTGTAAATGTAGGCTTTTGATATTTTTTGTACTATTCAAGATGGGTAAAGAATGAAGGCTACAACCCCAAAGATTTCTACATTAAAACATGTTATTTGAGAATAGTAATTGTTATGGAGTGAGAAACAACATAGTCCTTATTTTTTCCTGGCTGAGGCACAT